GAGCACTAGACTGAAGACGACAGTTTCCTTACAAAGGGTACAACTCAGGAACAGCCGGATGGAAGAGACACACAGGGTGGGTCTAGAGAGGTCCCAAGCATAGGAACCTCTGTCCCCGTGGAGTCAGGGTGTCTCCCTCCTGTTCCATCAATGTGCTCACCAGCCAGGAAGCTCCCCAGCCCGGCATTGTCCAGAGATTTTATCAAAGTGTCATCACCCAGGCCTGATTGAGTCACTGGTCTTGTGATTGAACTCAGTCTCCAGCCCTCTCCCCTTCCTGAGTGTTGGGGGGTGAGGCTGACACTTCTAGCCCTGTAGTCACAGGGCTGGTGTTTCTGGTGGGTGGGGCCCCTCCTTTGAAACTACCTAAAGGCCCATCCAGAGTCACCTTGTTAGCATAAACTCAGATGTGGCCAGGTAGGGCTCCTTAACAAAGATGCCACTATCAGTCGGGAAATTCTAGAGTGTGTGAAGCTCTGTGCTGGGAACTGGGGACAAAGACCAGATCTGTTCTTCATTATCTCACAGGACCACTCTTGCCAGCACACTGCATTGCTAACCGGCCCTCAGGGGCTGGCAGCTCGGGGGCCCTGAGTGATCACTGACAATTGATGGGTCAAGAAGAAATGCCATCCAAGCTGCCCTCCCCCCAGGGAGCTGGCCTAAGGGACAGGGAGGGACAGAGTGTGGATTTAAACAAAGCCGAAGTCACTCAGCGGCCCTACTTATCAGGGGCTGCATTGCCTAGGATCCACCACAGGCCAGCCACTGGTGGGGACCCCAGACAGTGGTGGCTGAGGCACCGGGAGACAGAGATACCATGGGAGGCAGGCGAGGACTGGCTGACGTATCTGTCACTGTGACTGCTCATCTCTTTGCCCATCACCCGTGCTGGGGAGTGCACTGTCGCCTGCAGGGTTGAAGCTGGGGGGACTTGCCAGAGGCATCTGCCTTTGGCATTTTCTGCTGAACATTTTTATGAACAAGTTGGATGGAGACACAGGAGGCCTGTTTATCAAATTTACAGGAAGTGCAAAATTGGAAGGCAGAGCTAATAAGATCATGGCAGAATCAAGATGTTTAAATATTTCAACAGGAGGAAATGATCAGGATCACACTTACGTCCCAGAATTGCAGTGCTTTGAGCCATTGCAAGATCATCTTGTCTGAATCACGCGTTTTACCAAAAGTAAGATCCGGAGAGCTTCCATAATTCACTCAACGTTTTACAGCAAACTGTCCTCACCTGGAGGCTCAGAAGCACCTTAAGCCCCATGTATCCATGCTTGGAATCTTCTCCTGAGCCAGGTGGTCACTCAGAAGTGGGCATTTTCTGTAGATAAGATGGAGTCACCACGGCGGCAGTCTCCTGTCTCATCCTGCATCGGTGTTTATTTCTCCTCTCTCCTCATGCTCTGCACTTCAGCAACGGTCAGACTGAATGTCTGCTACTTCTGCAAAGTCTGCCAAATGATCACGTTAGGAGGCAAGGAGGGGAGGAAGGAAGGAAGGAGGGGAGAAGGGAAGGAAGGAGGGAGAGTGGGAGCACACTGAGTGAGGAGTCGTCCTGAGGGATTAATCTAGATTATCTCATTGAACCCTCACATCAACCCCATGGTCGCCCACATGAGGACACTGAGGTGTACAGACCTCAGCATACTTGCCTAAAATTGAGGTTTGGACCTTGATCCATCCGGCTCCACAATCTGAGCTTCCACCCACATGGGTGATGCGATGACACTTGTATATCGATGCCTGAGTCAAGGGGCAGGTGCCTCAGACTCGCTGAGAAATACACCTCCCCACCGTGCACCAGGTGTGAAAACTGCAGTCTCCTGAAGCTTGGTCTCTGTCTCTCTCACAGAACACTAATAAGCCAGTCTCTTTTGAACTGTAATATGCAGCTGTTCCGTGGTTGTAACTTCATTGCTGGAGTGACCATCCCGACCTCAGGCTGGCCCCGCTGAGAGACTGGGGGTTGGGAAGAGGCGTGTCTGTGCAGCTGAGAGGGGCCCCGGGCTCACAGCAGACGTGCCAAGTCCAGCAGCCTGAGTCCCCTCCACCCCAGGTAAACTAATTAAATTTTGTTGTCTAGAAAAGGAAAATAGCGACTGGACTTGGTGTTTAGGATCCTGTCTCACCAAGTCTGGTCTAGCGCACTGTACCAGGTAGTCTGCTGCCCTTGCACACGGGCTGCGGGCTTAACCCCCCAAGATGGATGAGCGTGTGCACATGCAACCATGTGACCAGCGGGTCAGCTGGCCATGCCCAGCAGCCGTCAGAGGGCTGAGACCAGGGCAGAACTGGGGAGGAGAGCCCCTGTGCTCCAGGGGGCGGGATCACCATAATGTCTCCAAAAGGCTGGGGGACAGAGGCAGGGAGCATGCTGCCCTTCAGAAGGAAGAGACCCCGAGCTGCAGCCCCAGACTTGGGGGCCCCAACCCTGGAGAAAGGCTGGACAACACCAAGCCCCTCTCCATCCGTACAACTGACCTGGGAAATTCCCCAGATAGTGCGTGACCCTAGTGAAGCATCTGCCGTGCGGTGAAACTGTTTCCTGACGAGAGCCCTTCCCCCTCAACACAGCTAGCAAGGCCGTGGTCCCCAGTCTGTGTACCCATGGGGACACCAACTCTCGTCCTCGTACAGTTTTGGCTTGAGCTAGTTTTATTAAAAGTATTAAAATTTCCTTTCTGTTAAGGGTTCCAAAATCATTCAGCCATAAGAATATTAGAAGTATATTTAGCAAATTTGCATTTGCTTTTGACCAGCTCTAATTGAACCGATGGCTTCACAGTCTGGAAGGCATCCAGTGGTTCTGAACAGAAGATTTTGTTGAATAAGCTGTAAGACACGATCATCACTGAGCTTACGACGCTCCTATTAGTCTTATTTCAAGTTACAACAATACTCTTCCTGTTTTCACACTTCTATTTTTAACTAATGAAAATCTATTACAAAGAAACCCTAATTATAACCTTTGGAATATCATACAATTGCAAATCCACTGCTAATTTTCTCTTTTCAAAATTCCACATATTCGCATAAGAAGCAGACAATGTAAGTTCTCCTCAAATAGTTGGTCCCTAAGTAAGATTCCCCGATGGGCTGAACGAGGGCTTTTTTTCCCTTTGCACGTGTTGGGTTAGGCTGGATTAGTCCATATTACAAGCCTGGTGAGTGAAACCCTGGTTTAACGTAGAACGTTGTATATTTGCACACATATTAAATTGGTAACTAATGTATTTCCACGGTAATACAGTGGACAGACAGTGATGGAAAAGCCAAGTGCTTAGTGGGCATCAGGAGGTGGGGACTGGCCTGGTCCTGGCCACTAAGTGATGGTACGACCTTGAGTGGCCCCATCTCCTCCCCGGCAAATGCGGGAGTTGTGCAGACTTGCCCCGGTAATCCTGGGGTCTGCCCTGTGCACTGCAGGGTGTTTGCAGCATCCCTGGCCTCTCCTCTTCCGTGCTGGCAGCACCTTCTCAGTGGAGATAACCACCAATGTCTCCAGATGCTGCCAAACGTCCCCAGGAGCAAAGTCACCCTGTATGAGAGCACCGTGCCAGATGTATGTCTGAAAGCCCCGACACGGATGGTGTGAGCGAGTTTAACTGCCCCACTCCCGGGTGAGGCTCCTTCTGCAAAGAGGCCTAGAGCCTGGCACTTTTTAGATGCATGTTCCCTGCTGTTGCGGGACCTCCTGGCACTTAGGATGTCTAGAATGCAGGAGGCAGGATGTCACCTGCTTTTCAGGGCCCTTCTCTTTATGATGGTCAGCCTCGGTTGACCTCAGTGCCATCAGAAAGTGAAGGCTCTCTGAAACTGGTGATCTGATGATGATGGCAATGATGAGAGAACGGATTTGTACCTGTCCTTGTTGACGTCACTGGGCACGGAACCTGACAATGGAGGAATGTAGGGCAGGGCCAGGCCAGGAGGAGACCCAGCAGAGGGATCATTCGGTTAGAGTGGGGCTGCCTCCCAGGCCGGTGTAGGTCAGGTCTGTGCATCACGGCCGGGAACAGGCTGCATCAGAGGGGACAGGGGTGGCAGCTGGTGGACCCTGCTCCCAGGCAGGACCAGGTTGGGGCAGAGGAGGGGCGGGCATAAGAGTAAGTGTTCGAATTTGGCCAAATGTTTTCATCCAGCAGCAACTGTCAAGATGTGTTAGAAGGAAGTTTCCAGATGCTTCTAGAATAAGGTATAGCATCATAAAGAGATCTAGCAAATGGCCAGGTAAATAACATAATGCAAGGCATTATGGAGTTGGTGCTTAATAAGAGCGGGCCTCTCCCTTCCTTCCAGCTGCCCAGCCTGGTGCAGTCAGCTTATGGGTACCTCACCCTGTGCCCACAACGGCACCAAGCCTGCCTTGTGCCTGCTCCTACTGGTCCCGCGTTGTGTCCTGGGCCTTGGCTGTGGCCACCCCTGTATTGGGGGAGGGAACATCTCCAGGGCTCCCTGTGGTCCAACTTTCCACCATTCCCTGTGCAGACCACCCATGGCAGGGTCCCAATGTCCCCCATTGTCACTACAATCTCCCTTTTCGATTAGACCTCAGGATAAAGTTTTCTGTCCCCTGAGTGTTGATAGAATAGTTCTTCTTGTAACCATCTTCCATAATTTGTCCAAAAGGAAGGCCTTTCTAAAAGAACGGAATCAGTTATGAGCTCCAAAGATTTGCTCAAATGGGAAGGCTTGCTCCCGTGCCCCGTGAGGACTGTCTCCAGGCAGGGAGCGCTCACCCTCGGCTTCCTTCCCTGGTGGCCCTGGCCGCCCCAGTGCAGTCAATCCCCATGTGCACCCCGCCAAAGCAGTTTGTATCCCAAGAGCAAGCGTCTCTGCCTCCCACTTCGCTGGGCTGACTGCACCAGGCTTGAAAACATTTCAAAGTACCTTTGCTTCTCAGCTCCCTGGAGAGTGTTAAAGGTTGCACCGAAAAGCAGTGGGTCTCCAGGGCGTGGTTGGTTAACTCTGTGTCTTGTGCCCTGAAGGACGGAAGGCCGCGAGAGTCCTGGGCCAGAGGAGGCAGAGGAGGCGGAGAAAGAGGACAAAGTCGCCAAGACGCCGCCACCCCAGATCCTCCTGCCCCTGGAGGAGCGGGTGACCCACTTCAGAGACATGCTCCTGGAGAGAGGGGTAAGGACCTGTGCGGATAACGGCCCCTCGGAAGCCGGGACCGAGTCATCGTCCCCAAGACCCGAGGGACACTTCTGCTTCCTCACTGCGCTCTTGGGGTCAGGCTGGGGGAAATTCAGGTGTCACAGGATTTGAGGCCCAGCAACATGAGAGGAGCCCTGCTTCTTGTCTTAATGGAGAAAGGAGAGGATGTGGGGGCGTCCGGGCAGCTTTCTTGGCCTCTGAGCCCTGAACAGGGGTGGGTCTCCTGGAAGGGGTGGTGAGCCAGGACGGGTATAGGGATCGCGTGGCAGTCACAGTCAGATGCCTGCTGGAGCCCGGCCAGGATTTGGGGCCCATGCGTCCCAGAGGGACGTCCCCTGCGGTTTTCTCACTCAGGAAGACTTTCACACCTGTGGATTAGGCCACCTCTTTTTAATCAAATTAGGATCTCTTAGTTGCAGTTGACTTCTGAATCTAAGTTCGAATTTAGGGGGAAAAGAACGTTTTGTAATCAAATCTTCCAATGACTTTTGTTTCCTGCTTTGGCTTTTGGGTGTAAAATGAGCCAGATACAATAGCTTGGCCCAGTCGGGTTTCTTCATAAGATGAGACTGAACTCAGGAGGCAGTAATGGAAGCTACGTGTATCGTGAAAATTATAAGGAACCCTGTAAATGACCTTGGGAGTTCGAAAGCCAATTCCCCCTGCAGTCTGCACCGCACCCCCACCCACCGGCCCCTGCTCCTGGGCCCGCCCTCCCAACAGCAGGTGCAGCTGGGAACTGAGGCTCAGGCTTAAGGAAGAGAAAACGAGGAGGCTGCCTGTGGAGACCCCATCTCCCCCCAGAGCAGGGGGTCTGGGTGGGGCTCCTCAGAGTCGGGGCTGGAGCACCAGCTCTGGGCGGGACATAGCCCTGGGGGTACAGGGAGCCTGAGACAGTCCCAGCTCTTGAGAACTATCGAGAGGGAGGCGATGGTCCCTGCACCATGAGTTTTAATACACACATCGCTTCACCTATCTCGTCACTCACTCAGAACTAAAATACAGCCTTTGGCGCAAGAGACTGGAGGAGAAGTGGACTTGTGAACTTAAATTACGATGCAGTGGGTTAAGCCTAAATTAGCACGTACCAAGAAACACAGAAGTGCAAGACAGGGAATGCCGTGAGCACACGTGCGCATGCAGGAATAGTCGCTGGTATAGATGGAAGGCACGCTTTTCAAAAAGATGATTTTAAAAAACTTATATTTATTAGGCTAAAATTGGGTTTTGAAAATTACTGTAATCCCTCCCCATGCAAATGTTTGTTTTTCAAGCCACGGGAATGACTGGATTAAACTAATCCTCAGTGTGGAACGGCCGGGGAAGCAGCGGGCTCCTCCCCTGTGTGATGTGCGCTCCACCAGGCCCCCTGGGACTGCACCGTGGACTGCGGACAGAGCAGGCAGCCAAGCCCAGTGCCAGGCCCGGCTCTCCCTCTGCCCTTTGCTCTGCCCCCAGCTAGTTCCATCACCTCTCTGCTCCGCTTCTCCCACTACAAAGCCAGACAGACAAGCCAATAAAACCCATTCACCCCTCGGGTGCTGAGTCCCACACCAAAGAGAGAGGGCTCCAGGGAGCATCAGGATGGGTGTGCTCCATGCTGTTCTGGCCTTTCATGTTCCTAAGCAGAGAAATGGGTCCGCTGTCTCCATGCCCTTTCTCCAGGCATCCCGGGAAGGTGCCAGCAGTGCACTTACTGCCTTGAGACCCATCTCTGCCACCCTACAGGGTTGCTCGTTCTGTGGCCCTCAGACTGACCTCATGGTCCTGGAGGCTTGTACCCAATGTCACCACTGGTCACAACCCCTGGTGGCTGCCCTGAACTCTCTCACCCGCACCTTGACCCTCCTTCCACTCTTGGCACAGGGTCCCTTTGCCTCTGCCTGCCACCCTGCCCTGGCTGACATAGGATAGCACACGACGGCTCTGTGTCCCTGCCACGTTGCCAGAGTTATCATGCGAGGCCATAGTTCCTGGAGGGGTGGACTTTCTGATGCTCCTTTGGATTCACAGTAACGCTCAAGGATTCCCAGATTCCCCCAGTGTCCCTGTAGATGCAGCTCCGGGACCAGGCTCCGGTCTTGCCACATGTGCCCTCTGACCCAGCCCAGCACTGACCCCAGAGCAGGCCAGCAGAGCCTCAGGGTTTATCTTCCGTACCAGCTGCAGTTCCATCTCCTCTCCCTCTGCTCCCGGTGCCCAGAGCAACCGCAGGACAGAGCTTAGGGCATTGCACATGCAAATGCGACAGAGCAGAGTCCTGTCCCCGCAAAGGTGCCAAGGCAAGGACCCCTCTCCTCTGGAAACCTGGGAGGTGCATGCTCTGAGTTTGGTCGCCGTGGTCTGTTAGCTCTCTGTCGACACGCAGGATGTTCTCCACTTTTAGTGCATGCACCTCTTCTGATTGCAAAGACAGTGCAGATACCCATGTAATTCTGAGTGTCTGCGTAGACCCAGCCAGGCTGTTCCGGTTGAACTCCCCAGCAGGAGACATGAACTGTCTCGCTGAGACGTGAGGGCGTTGTAAACATTGGAGAAAGATAAGCAAGCGTTCATTTCATCTCATTCCTGTCTAAGTTTTCCATCTCTTTGTTGTGGAAACACTTTACCAACACAGCATTACACGGGCCTGCGTCGGTGGCAAGGGCTACTGGGAGAGCCCTTTCTCTCCCCAGGGCGCTGGTGGCCATGTCTGTGTGGCCTCTCGAGGTCATCCCAAGGGCCTTGGTTTTACTAATGAGATTCTCTGTGCATTCTTGCCTCACTGAGGAGGGTGATTCCTTTCAGCCTTAGTCTCTTATATCTGAGGATCTTATATATATGGGAATTGGCAAGAACAACCCGGAAATGAGGAACACCGCCCCCACTGTTCTGAGTCCCCCGGGAGAAAGAGCCTGGGGTGCAGCCTCACCCCATCTTAGGAGGATTCCAGAAGAAGCCCACACGCAGCTCATGAATAGAAACGACCACTCTGAATTTACTGCCCATATTATAAAGCAAAGCCACCATTTATGACTTCTTGACTTTATAAAACAGGCCAGCAGATTTCATAAGTTACTTGTGCTCATGAGAATTTGATAGCTAAGCCCATAAGATTTCTAGTTACTTAAAAATGAGGCCCAGAAAGGTCACTTTTTTCATGGACTGAGTGATTAATACGATTTTTTATTGCATTTGTTCAATGCGTCAGTTCAGAAATTCATGTACTTATGGAGTGATGAAGCTGGGTCCTGTGTCTTTCTGATAGTTTTAAAGGGCTTAGTTTGGGGTATTCTGTGGGGATTATGGATTAGGAACAGGCCTTCGGTTTGTGGTTTTGTAATATGTAAGCGATGGCTCATGGAAAGGTTTGTTTTTATTTTTTTTTTAACTAGACAAACCACAATGGAGCTTTCTTTTAAACCTCAGTCTATAAAGCGGCTGTTTTGATTGAAGAGCAGATTATTAATTGAATCCTGCCTATTTAGATAATTAAAGAATTTTTATTGAGAACTTCTTCCTTCTGCAGAGTGTCCCTCGGAGCAGGTACGGCTTTTCCAGGGGCAGGAGAGGAAAGACCTTTCCAGAACCCTAGATTTTAATTCAGGGACTCTGGGCGCTGCACCTGCCATCCTCTCAGGGGTTCCTCCATGGGTGACCCTTGGCCAGCCTCCCGCAGTGGGCAGCTTCTGGGAGACGGGCTCACACTGTGGCCAGCTCCGTGGGTGAGCCCCCAGAATTTGGGTCCGAGTCTGTGCTGGAATGAGGAACTCACAGGCCACGTGCTCATGCTGGCCGGGCCACAGTGGTCTCTGCCTGCATGCAGACGGTGTGGATCGTGAGGTCAAAGGTATAAAGTTGGTACAAATGAGGCGGAGGCTCCTTACCTGGGGTCTTCCTGCTAACAGGCCAGTGAGAGAGGGGCACCTTCTCCCAGGCAGGACGAGGGGCAGCCTGGCTCCCCTACTTCGGAGGCCCCTTCCCTGGTAAGTGGTGTCTGGTGCCCCTTCCCCTAGACATGTCAACAGCAGTGCCTCCCTAGAGCTGCAGTGGGCCCCAGGCCAGGACATGTGCTGGACAGGCTCCCGCAGCCTCACCTGTGAGCACACGCCCTGGAGCCCACGCCAAGCTGTGCTCCTGAGTCCTGGGCACCCCGGGGGCAGCCCCACGCAGTGACGCTGTGCTTCTGGGGAAGCTTACCTGCTCCCTGTTCCTATAGCAACTCTTCCAAATCTCCCAGGCACGTAGTAATACCGCTAATGACACAAAATTGTACTATGAAAGGAATGCACGCTTATTATAGAAAATTTGCAAAATATAAAGAGTATAAATAAGAAAAAAATCACCTGAAATCCTACCCTAAAAGGCAATTATTTTCATCAATGAGGTACATTTCCTTCCAATCTTTTTTTAAAAACATAGGCTTTTAAAAAATGATCAAGAATAAACATTTTTATCTTATAGTACAACCAAGATTGAACTGTAATTGAACATGGCTGAACCAATTATTTTTTATATAGTTAATTTCATAAGATTCAACCAAGTTTATAAATCTGTATACTGTTTCCTCCTTTTAAGCATTTTTTAAAAGTATTAGTATAAACCTTTGGAAAACATTTTTTCTTTTTCTTTTTTGGAGGAGGATTGGCCCTGAGCTAACATCTGTGCCCATCTTCCTCCTCTACTTTATATGTGGGATGCCTGCCACAGCGTGGCTTGATGAGCCGTGCTAGGTCTGCACCCGGGATCCAAATCGGCTGACCCCAGGCTGCTGACGCGGAGCATGTGAGCTTAGCCACTGTATCATCAGGGCAGCCCCAGAAAACATTTTTGATGAGGGCACAATATTTGATTCATCATCAGTTCAAAGATCCTGCATTTCCATTCACTTAGTGTCTTTTCCAATTTTGCTGTTTTAAATAATATTCTGGTGATCGTAACGATGCATGAACTTTTGTTTGTGTGTGTAGGACTGTTTCCTACAGGCTGTCAGCATC